CCCCAAAACCCCAAAACCCCAAAACCCCAAAACCCCTTTCATCTTAATTTTTATAGAAATATTGATATATCCTCACTATAAAAATGAACGGCAACTTTCAAGTAACCTTTGCTTTACCTCTTAGATTCTCCCAAAAAACTCCCCGAAAGCACCAAATTTCAGCATTAATGGAACCACAAAATTAATCGCTAACGCTTCAGGTACTCTCCAAATTTACCCTCTAGCTCCAAGACTCACGTCTCTACTCCAAAAGGATATTAATCCTAGCTTAAAAGACCTAAAACTGCCTTCAATTTGGAAACTGAACTCATGTAAGAGCTATTCTTAGCCATAGCTCCTATTACTATTAAAGAGAAGACCAAGAAGAAGCAGAAGTTCAAGCCTCTAACTGATCGACAAAAGATGAAAATGATTCATCGTCATAGGTTCAGCGTTGATCTAAAGCTGTCTCAGATCCATGGTTCCCGGGATGAGCAATCCCAAGGGACTGCTCAAAAGATGCCAGTGAAGGACAACCTAGCTCTGCTCAAAGCGAGAACCAAGAGGTTTCTTAATAACCACAAGCAAAGTCTTGGAAAAATATACTCAAATTTTGGTTCATTCCCCAAAATTGAGCAGAACAAGTAATTCATTTTGTGATCTCTAGGGAGTTGTGCAGGATCTGGAACTTCTGGGAAACCTCAAAGAGAATGATACAAACACAGTTGAGAATGTATTACTTCCTGCATCATGCAGGCATGATGCAGGAAGATTCAAAGTAAGGTGAAACCTCTAAAATTATTCTAGTCCTGATAACATTTATTTTCTGCAGTTTAAAGAAAATGAATTTGAGAATTTCATCACTGCTTATGATAAGTCAAGCCAGAGGATATTTCTGTCAAGCATCCAGAAGTATTACAAAATGCTCACACTTGGGAAGCCTAATTCTGTTCTACAGACTGACACCGAGGAGTTCAAGAGACTGGTATACTCTATCGATGCCAGCAAGCATGAAGATAGTGACACCACTGACTTCGATGGATTTTTGAAAATAAAATATTATTTCATTGATAGGCAAGCCACCGATGAAGAACTTGAGAAAATTAAGGATTATGCCCATGACTTGTTCGATAAGTTCAAACCCGGTATAATAATATTGTTAAATGACTCTTTAGATATCAGTATTGAATACAGAGATGACACAGTGCTACAACAACTAGGAGCCTAAGTCCAATAAAGAATGTTTCAATTTCTTAGCTCCTGATGGGGTTTTGGGGTTTTGGGGTTTTGGGGTTTTGGGG